CTCTTGAGAGGAGGTCAAAAAGAAAACAAGAAAAACCAGCTCCTTCTCAAACTACAGCTCTTGTTACACCAATCCCTTCTCTTTCTAGCAGTTCTTCCTCCCCACTTATAATGGTATAGATTTCATTCAAACTTTGCTAAACCATTATGCATTATGTTTAATGTAGTGACACTCTATTTCACTTTTCTTCTTCTCTTTTAGACATACAAGAGGAGAAGACTTCTCTCTCCAGCTTTATCTCATTCTTCTTATGAAGAGTTGCCTCATGAAAAATTGCCTGAAACCCAGACCAATCTACCTCCTTCTTTGCCTAATCAGACCAATTTACCCTCTCCATTGCTTGACAATCAAACCGAACTGCCCTATCCTCAAACAAACTTAGAGTATCAATATCCCCTCCATGAAGAACAAACTGGTCAAAAGAGAGCACGCCCAAGAGAATTAGCCCTTGAATTAGCTCAAATTCTATCTGACATCCCTCAAGAGATAGCTTTAGGGGATTTGATGGCCTTCCCTCTTAGAGGAGTATGCCATGGAACAAATGAAATTATTAATTTTCCTGGCGTAGCCTCTTCCTCAGAAGAATCAGAAGCCCCTAGCCATGCTAGAGAAACTCCAATTGACTTAGGCCATGCCAGAGAAATTTTAATGGACTTAACTGACAACCTTGACAGCCATACATCTCATGTCGACAGAAATTCCCTAGTTCATGAGCAAAATGATATTATCCATCAAGATGACCATTTCCAGTTTATAATCAAGGGAATGAAGTTGACAGAGCTGACATTGAGGTTCTGGATAATGAGTCATCTTCAAGTGACATAAGGACTCCTCATGAGGGAATTACATAACCTTCCAGCAAACTTGTTCAGTCTCCTTCCACCTCTATACAATGATCGATAGAGGAAGTATCTTCATTCCATCTACCTCTAACAGTTGATGCCCCCTATCAGTCCAAACTGAAATTCCTATGGGTAAAGGGACCTCCAGTTTGCCCAAACCAATCACCATGGGCATAGCGGTTCAAACCTCCTGTAGCTCTAGTCCTCTCAGAGAATCTATCACCAATGCCCCTACTATAACCATTTCTGAAGTGCAATTAATTCCTTCACAAGTAGCATGTTCTATGCAAGTGTTATCTTATCCTTTATCTCTTTTGTCTCATCAGACTTTTGATTACAACTTCATCATGCTTTTGATTTCTCTGACAGACTGGCACATCTACCCACAACCCAATCACAACTAACATGGGGGTGCAAACCATACCATCTTAGAATCCTTCAAGAGAAGTATTGGCCACCTTCAGCTTCCCAATACCAAAACTTATACCATGCCTTCAACAGAGGTAACATAATCTCAAGCTATTCATTTTTCACAACTTGAAACAATTATTGACTTAAACTTTCTAGTGTAACAGCCCATAGCTGCTCCTCTCCAAGATCTACTTTTGGGCATCTCTACTTTCAACAAACTGTTGTCAACCTGACTGTTGAGGAAAGATTAAAGCAGCTGTCTAGTAAGGAGCAAGAATTGATAGACCAATTCTTCAAAATGCTTGGCCAGCCCCTGGATGATTTGGCTCTTTCCCAAACCACAGCTATGATTGATTGTTTGGAAGCCATTGCACCTCTGATGCCTCAACTCTTCGACCTAGACCAAGTGCTGGCTTTCCAAACCTTCCTCTCAGAATTTCCAAAGCATCTAGTAGCTATCAACTAATTTCATGCTGAGCCAAAAACTATTGAAACCCAGGTGGATCAAATGAGGAAAGAAATTAATGCTCTGACTGAGGCCTCTACCAGATCATAGGCCCTCGTTACTCAACTTGCCATCCTTAGAGCAAAAGAGGCTCAATTGGCTCATGTGAGGGCTCAGAAAGCTATTGTTGAACAAGAACAAGCGAACATTTCCCAACAAATTCGGTACCTTCTTGTTCAAGCAGAAGGTGGCCCACCTGCTATTAAACAAGCTCAAGACAGACTCAGGCAAAATAAAAGTAGAC